GTGTGTGTGTGTGTGTGTGTGTGTGTGTGTGTGTGTGTGTGTGTGTGAAAAAGAGTTTCTTAGACCAATGGGTGTCCCATGTGTATGTGGAGCAACTAAGGAATGTGCTTTACCTTAATATCAACAGGAGGCTTGTTAATCACAATATCTCTGTTCACCATCAGGACTTCACCACCACATTCTGGTTCTGAGACAGCTACTACTCTCATAATGTTGTAGTCAGAGAGATGAGACCCATACTGGTCAAATGGTATGTGTAGTGGAATTGTTTTCACTGCAAAGTAAAATTATTTTAATCACTAATCTGTTTCTCTCATCTGATATTTCCTGCCATTTCCATCCTGTAATTTGACTGGCACTAAACAATACGGGTTATACAGCAGCTTGTTGAATGTCATGGTATCCCATTGTCTTAGAGTGCAGACATGACATCTGCTGGTTAAAGGAGATGCACTACTATCCTCAGCACTGTGGCCAGTTTCAAGGATCTTTAAGTATATCATTGCATTCACCAGGAAGTTCCTCCTTAATTAAAACTTTAAAGCAGAACATTTTATTGTGCTGTGTTTCCTAATCCTCAGTGATATCCCAATCTCGAGAATTTAAAGTTAGTAAAAATGAATCCGAACACTAAGGAGGTGATGGTTTGATATTCATATAGTATATGGAGAGAGCTTGTTGTCTCTGGAAAGCAAAATGATATTAATCACAAGCTAAGTGTTTGTGATGTGACATCCCTCCTGTCTTCTTTATTCCATGGCTTATCTAGAAGTAATGCTTGGAATGTTCAAGGCATCCCATTTCCCTTGAGAGATATCATAATCTCCTCTAGTCAAAGATATACACACCTTTCCTCAAACCTTTGGCTGCTATCATAGCTTTCAGAGAACCGTAGCTACATCAGTGTATTTAACATAAAACTGTTCCTTAGTTAAAACCCGGACCTGAAGATTTAATGGTAATGAACTTCTGAATGCTCACCAATATCCCTAACCTTTGGAACCTAGCTCTGGTAGAAATTAAACCAAATACCAAGCAGGGCCTACAAGCCACCCAGAAGTATACAAGCCGCGCAGTGAATTTGCTGATCTTTGGAGGATCAGACCAAAAGCAAGCCAACTATCAATATTAAAGGAAAGAGATCCCCATTAATTTAATCTCCTGGGGCTGTTAATAGGCCTCTGACTAATCCTGATCACAAGTATTGACCTATCTCCTGAGGATAGTGTTGACTTTGGACCAACAAGAGTGAATTATACAGCTCCAATATTTCTTACCTTCCCTTGGACCCAGAATGACATTCATATTGTCCTTCCAGAACTGATCCAATGGACATCCATTGCATGTCATCACCTGAGCACACAAGTTGAAATTCAGGTTCTTGGGCTCCTTACGTAAATTTTCAAGCACCCATTGCAGACAGACATCTTGGCCATATACCGGGCAATTAGCCATCTTAAGCCTCATAGCAATACCAGCATCACTTAGGAATGGGCTTCGGAGAGATGCTAACTCTCTGTCTATATCTGAATTGGGAGCATTACAGTATGCAGAATGAATTTTTCTATAAGCTCTGTAAAATGCTTCTTTGTCTTTCAGAGAACCTGTTGAAGAAGATATGGGACATTTAACCTGTTGGAGATGCAAGAGATCCTAATAACTCCCTCAGTCCCAAAAGTGATTAAATTCCTTCTTCTTCTCTCCTCTCCTTAGAGCTTAATCTGGTACAGTCAAGTGTAGAACATAAAGAAAATGCACCTCCTCTCCAAGACATGGCAGTTCAAGGAGACAGGAATGCTGAAAGAAAATCACTTGGAAAACATGCTTAGTTGCAGTTTGTTACCTTATTTTATATCTGTAGAGTAAATAAATAATAAAACAGGCATTCAGCGTAAGTCTCAGAACCAGCTTTACAAGGACCAGAATGTGTACAATAGACCACATTACATATATCTGTCTAAACACTAGAGATATCCATATGAAGACACTCTCGTAAATGTCCAGCTTCTTAACTTTGCGCCTGTTGTCCTTCAGACAGTCAGCCAGAGGGTTCATTTTTACAGTTATCTCCAACCCATTTCACACTCCTGTAAGTGTTGTGCTGTATAATCCCTTAAATACTGTTGGATGGTGAATATATCCCAGTAATAACTTATACTGACAAAAAAAATGAATATGAGGGTATACTAGATATGTCAGGTAGCTAACTGATGAGCATGTGAGAATGAAGAGGTTAACTCTTGCTTGAAGAATGATTTAGGGCCTTTCAGAGGTCCTAAGAAACCTAATACTGATCTCTATTACCCACTTAAGGAACAGGCAGGGCCAGAATATGAATGGAAATAGTGGGAGTGAATGACTTTAAGCACAATCTTTAAAAAAAATAATTATATTTAGAAGCCTTTGGAATAAGGTTACTTTCCAAAAACTAGATCAGTCTGGAGAAGTTTTACTTTAAAACTGGGAACTTTCACAATTAACAGAATGTGTTTGTTTATATTTCTTATGATCAGCATTTCAAATTCCTGTGAATCCAAGTAAAGTCTTTGGTCCATACCTAATTCATACTTGTAAGCTCTGGTGATATCCTCACGTAGGTCACTACCAATGCACTTGGTGCTGATGTATTGCCCACAAGGCCAAGTGTCATAGTATAGTTTTGTCTTTGAGACAGAGCCTTGGGAAAGCCAGCCGACACAGCTTGCATTCAGCCGAGAGAATATATGATGGCCGTCATAGTCCAAGTCCAGATCTCCATCTTTGATGCTTCTGACCCAAGTAGGACCACAGCATATTGAACCTAACACAGATCAAGTCAACCATATTACTACATTATGTAACATAGAATGCCTACTGTACAACCTGAAGAATAGGACAGTAATGACATTTACAGAAACATAGGGTTCATTTACCTCTACCAGTCTCCAGGGGTGTTGGAGCCAGACACTGCCAATCACCACAACATTGATTTAGATCTCTGCGGGCCATCCAAGATTCATTCCAGCAGTGGTAGCTCCTGTAGCATGTAAAAGTTCAGAGACTTTGTAAAGAACTCTCAGGGGCCAGTCTTTGGTACAAGTCAAAATTCTAGACCAATCAGACTAGGAACAGGGGTAGGGTGGGAATATGAAAACTACCATTGGTATGTGATAGTGATCTAGCTGTGTGAATGCTGTATTGGGACCAGACACTATAACCATAGTGCTCTACACCAATGAAAAGAAGCTTCAAGAAGTCAGCTATCAAAGAAACGATTATCAACTAGGTGATCATGATGGAAGATGATGGCCCTGATCCCTGATGGATTTGTTTCACATGATCCAGTCAGTATTTTTGGAGCCACTCCAAGATAGATGGCCTCATTTGCAGGTAGTATTAAGTACTTACAAATCTGGTGAATGTTTTATAAGCATCTGATTCTCATGTAGATTCAGCAGTCAAGCAAGTACTACTAGTGTATAATTATATCTTCTTGCAATGTGTCATCATGAAACTGAATTATTGCAACAGTCTTGCAACACTAAAGAAATGGTCCATGATCAGCTTATGTGAGTTCTTGTACATCAGTAATAGCATTCACTCATTGTTGATTTCACACTTACCAAAGACTGTCTTTGCCACGCAGGGTTTTGCCAGTACAGTCAAAAAGTTCATTGACAACAAGGGGGTTCTCAGCACGTTGAGGAGAATAGAAGTTTGTGACAACACGGCTTGGGATTCCCAAACACCTCATCACTGTAAGGGAAAAAGTGCTCCAGAGTCCAGAACACTTACTCAAAAGTCCCTATAAAGAATGCTTTCCTGGAATAAGTTAGCCAATTCCTTTCCTTCCTATTTTTCAAGTAATTTCTCCTATAATTGACACATAGCATGTAAATAGTTTGAGCTAAAATCTCCAACAACAAACACTGAGTGCACATAACACTAATGGTGCAAAGTCAGCTTCTCTAGGGGACTTCATTTTGGTGTTGGGAAAGTAGCAAAGGGGGACCTAGTAGTAGGAAATAGGATGTTAGGCTTTCTTCCTGGGTCCTTTAGTAGGCTCAACAATAATGGTGTCTGACTAACATCAAACATCTTGAAAACATCAAGAGTCCTCTATAATGTTAATTGCAAATGAAGCACAGATTCAATTTCACTATGTTACAAAACATCCCCATCAACCAACTTAGAAACGGATTTACCTCAGTAAGTAATCACTTATAACCTTGGCAATGGATATTTAGCTCACTAAAATATCCTCTCTTTTCATAGGAAAGGATAGTACTGTAGTTTGCAGCTCATTGCTTTGCCTCCCAGATTTTAGGAAGAGATACAGACAAGCATTTTAGTGTAATTGTCACTGCTTGTTCTTCTGATTCATCATCCAACCTTGTGCTAGAAGGATATACTACCACATACAGTACACTGTTCTTACTCTGCTTTTTATCACTGGAGAAAAATGCTCAGCAAGCGCTGGAACATATAGTACTGACTGGAGTCAGGGCCAGAAGGGTGAGTACTGCTTTTCTTCCTGCTCTGATCACTGCTGAGACAAAGCTGGATCTCACCCTAGTCAGCCACTTTATAGTGAATTTATTTTGGTAACAAAAAATAGATCCACTTTTTTTTCTGGTGATATGCAGATCAGGTGAGCTGCTTGCTATAGGCTTTTGGGGGAGGGTTGTTTTCCTTGACAGGTGTGGATATATCATTCCCCACCAACTTGGGGGGGCTAGCTTACCTGTGCACATTACTGATGCAAGAGACGCAGAGTCTCCATATCTGACCGGCCTGCATCTCCCTTTATACCACTGCTGAAGGATAGGAACACTTCCATTCCATGACAGTGGTTTAGCCCCCTGCAGGTAATCATTGTTCTGTGGGAGCTTCATGATGCTGTTACTGCTATGGCCACAGATCTGGAAAACAGACAAGAATAAATCTAAATACCTGATCACTTCTCTACATCTTAAGACTTTTCCAAGATACAAATTCTGCACTGAGCTATTGAAACTGTGGAAATTCTGATTTACATGGTTAGTCAAATTCCTCCCTGTTTAGCTCCATACGCGGTATATGTGTGTGTGTGTGGTTCCTGTGTGTTTCACTCTTCTCCTACAACATAGCTCACTGCTGCTGATGCATTCAGAGGCCATATGTGATTAACCATTCACCTACCATGTGGTTTACCACCATGCTGACATGCACAGGATCATTGCGCCAACTACTTTCTCGGTCAGAGTCATGATGGTAATTTGCACCCATATCCAGGAGTTTCAGGCAGATATCCAAAATGCCATCTTCAAACTATGTGCACAAGGAAAGAAGGCTGTTACAGACACTATAGAATGCTGGCTTTGATAAGTTTCCTTTTGTTTTCCTTTTATTCTGTGATCTCTTCATGCAAGTGAGCAGACCCCTTTTTCTAAAGGCCAGTGCCCATGGCTTTGCATTGTATCTCATATCTACTGGCAGAAAGGAAAGGATTCCTGTTAGAACGTGTAAGGGTAACTCCTTGCTTGGCCAATGGAATCATTTCCACCTTTCATTCAGAGGCTTAATATGAGGTACGTCCCCCCACTTCTTCCAGGGAAGTCTCTACAACCTTCCCAACCCCTGTAGGGCCAAAGTGAAGTTAAGTCACCTTTTCCCCAGAGTTGAGTGTCTATTCTGTAGTCCTCGCTAGGGCTGAGTGGGAAGTGGTTTTCCCATCCTGTGAAAACTTTTGAGATTTCAAAATGTTTCTTGTTCTGTAGCTATTTCCTTTTGAATTTGTTTTGTGAAAATCAGAGAGAGAAAGAGACACCCACCCAGAGTAGCCAGATGGTTAGGGCTCGCACCTGGGACATGAAAGGTTCAAATTCTTGATCTGAATGAGGCAAAGCAGTGACTTTAACTTGGATCTCCCACATACTAGGTAAGTGTGCTAACCTCCAGGCCTTGGAGTCATTTTCTCTCCCTGACCCAATGAATATTGATATAAAGTGGAACAGGTCCAATAGGAGAGATTGACAGATTGACTGTATAGCCCAGTGGTTAGGACACTCCCTGTGATGTGGGGGAGACAGATTCTGAATCAGGCAGAGTCTGGGTTTCCTAGGTGAACGCCTGGCCCCTCACCATTGGGCTATCAGGTCTCTCTGCTCTAGTGGTTGCATGGTGGATTTTTTTTTTTTTTTTTTTTACTGTATGTTAAAGTATTGAGACTGGAGCACGGTCTGGATTGGCACAAGAAAAACTCATGAAATTCTGTAATATACCAGATATTTATGTAAATCTTGGATTGCACCTGTGCTACAGAAAGGCAAGATCAGTCTGGCTAGGCTCTGTCAACATCATCTTTTGAATTATTGTTGGGTTCTACAAGTTCTGAACAAGTCTCACAGTGTGACATTTACCTGTCCAAAGTGCCACGGTCTAGAAGTAATATGCTTGTGAACTCCCTCGTACAGCATTCCTTGTTCATTCAGGACATATTCTTTTCTGTGGGCCTCATTGTACATATACACAGCGTCATCTGGAAAAGAAGCAGAGACAGAACTATCACTCTAATTTCTCTACCACTCACTTTCTCTTTCCCTTCTCTCTTTCTTTACAAATCTGCTGCTTTTCCTGTCTTTTTTAACTTAAACTTAAGCAACATTTTTAAGTGTGTCATCTCCTTGGAAATATTGTTAGAGTTTTGGATAAATTGTTTAATAACTCACTGTATATTTAGAAGCTTGATTTTTGTCAAATCGTTTTTCCTTTAACAGGTCTCACCCAACTTTAAATATATACAACCTGAATTTCAGAGATCCTGAGAACTTCTGACTTCCACTGACATTGCAGTTACTAAGCACATCTGAAATTCAAACAGTGTGTGTTTAAATTTGGCACCTAAAAAACAAGGTACGCAAAATTACAGACTGTTTTTGAATACTTGGCACTTACTGACTCACTTAAGATCATACAGGGTACGTCTACACAGCCTGGCTGTGACTGGTCTGTGTCAGCTGACTCAGGCTCATGGGGCTCAGGTTGTGGGGTTAAAAATTGCTGTGTTGACATTCGGGCTCAGGTTGGACCCCAGGATCTAGGACCCTCCCCCCATCATGGGGTCCCAGGGCTTGGGATCCAGTCTGAGCCTGAAAGTCTACACAGCAATTTTACAGCCCTGCAAGGCCAAGCCCCATGAGCCCAAGTCAATTGATATGGGCTAGCCATGGGCGTTTAATTGTTGTGCAGGTGTACCCACAGAGTCAGTAGTAACAGCCAGGAACATTACCCAAACCTACTGACTCCTGTCCTGTGCTCTATCCACAGGAGAGTGGCCTCCCAGCTCAGACTAATTTACTTCACAGTGGTATCATGAGGCACTTTAATATTCTGATGGAAAGTGCTGTAGAAGTGGGGGGAAAAAACATTATACTTTAAAACTAATGGCATTAAGTGACCAAATGAAAAAATGAGCTCCTAACTTCTCTGGATTTTGTAGTCTTCAATACCTAGATTGGGAGATCCCAGCACTTGCAGGAGAGAAAATGAACATGCACAATCTGAACCTGAATTGTGCATCTCAAGTCCATTTCTTCTGAGAATATTTTTTACTATCCCAAACACCCTCTCCCTTGAGGCAACTGTTCCTTATAATTTTGTTAATTTCGAACTTCTTCTATAAGCAAAATAATAAATATCTCCAGCATTTCTCTTACCACAGATTTCCTATGGGTTTCTTACCAGCACACCAAGGATTAAAGAGGATGTAAAAGTCTCCTAGGCACCGGTCATATGTGCGATTACAAGATGTGACGTGCATGTTGAGAATGTGGCGGCCAATACAGGCATTGGTTGGTGGAAACAGGGTGATGTTCATGCACCTTTTTTGATGAGGTTTGTAGCAAGCACTCCAGCAGCTGTGATCTATACATTTGCCTAAAGAGAAGTTGCACTTCGTCCCATTTGACTCACAGGGTCGGAGGCCTTTTCAGGAAAGGAAAAATACAAGTCTGAATAAAAATGGACAAATCATATTCAACAGACACATACTTTGTCGAAATGACATTTGCAATGTAAAGCTTCTAAGATATAAGGTCTCTTATTTATGTGAATAATGCACAGCACGGTTGGGGGGGAATTAAAACTCCACATGAAATGCAAGGGGGCTTGGAGAAAGTATCTATCAGCACAGGTGGTGAATGGGGAAAGATTATTTATTAGCAGAGGACTGGGAGAAGACCACACATCTTCATGCAGTTTGGAAGTGATTACCTGTCTCCACAGTGAAAGAAATGGTATCCCTGGAGTCATCCCATTCCCGGTTTTGGAAGTTCACATAAAAGTTGAAGGCCTGGCCTCTCCTCACTATCTGTTTGTCAGTGCCAAAGAAATGTGTGTTATGGTTGTTGCAGTTGTGAGGACAGTTCAGGTCTACATCTCCCGTTGCAATAGCTGCAGGAAAAGAGAGGAATGAACCCAATGAGAAAAAAAATATATCACTGAGGACTCATTATTTAACAGCTGTTGCCAAGGCTTCCTGCAGGAGGGGGAAAAGAGGACAGACAAATAGAGAGCATAGCAATTAATCAAAGCAATATATTTTAATTCTGAAGAACTAGTTAAAGAACAAGAAATATTTCAAATCTTCAAAAGCGTTGAGGAACTGGTCAGTAGAAGGAGATAGGGCATATGCCCATACGAAGTTAGTTCCCTTTGCGGGATATACAGAGCCCACCTCTGCTCCTAAAAGCATCACATGTTGAACTAAGAAAATGACAGAATTGAACTCTATGGAAAGCTTTACAGCTATTGTCAACCCTAACCAAAAGCATCTCTCAGTGAGAAAAGACTAGAGCCATGTAAACCCCTCCTAGGGGTTGTAGATGAATCTATAACTCATGGTCAGCAGTATCAAAGTCAACTAATAGATCTTCATCTATCAACTGGAGGAGACTGACAACCCACACACAACCAGCACATCTACACGACGTTGAGGCATAAGCCCAATTTAATTGGGGACATGGAAACCAGGATAATCCGGATGCCATTTAAGCTGCCTTGCCAAAACCTTTTCAGTGAACTCCCTAAAAGTAGGAGATTCTAAACAGGGCAATAACTGGAGTTAATCAGCATAGCCAGATAACATTTTTGGAGCAATGATCTAACAATTGTTTCTTTAAAGGAAGCCAGTATCTTGCTGTCAGCTAAGAGAGCCACTGATAATTAACTCTAATACCTCCCATTGGTTTTCTCCAGCCAATGGGAATTTAGCTCTAAATCACTGGGAACACAGAACATTAATTGTTTTTACTTTATGCTTTACATGTAGTTTATTTTATAATTTGCCTTTTCATTCCTCTCAGAAATGGCCATCACACCATCTCCTCATCATATTTCCCACCATTCTCAAGGTTTAAAATCACTTTTGATATCTGTAGGGGGTGGGCTGTTTTTTGTTATTGTTTTTTAAAGGGGAAAAACTGAGTTCAAATATAAAGTAATTATCACAGAAAATATTATCTTCTTATGACAATATTCACAACAAAGAGTATCTAAACCACAAAAATGATCTCTTGGCTTGAATTTACGCAGTAGTTTACACAGATTTTGTCCATGTTTCTGGCAGATTCATTAGTCTGCTTGCCTTGTCTGCCACCTCTACTTTCAGATGTTAGTCACATGATAACAAAGCTCCAAAGCACTCACCTTCCATTTTCCTTGCACACAGACCAGTTTCTTAAGCAGACTAGCACCCAGTCCAATTGCTCCTTAGCAAGTTCGATGCTATACCCCAAGATCTGGTTGAGTTCATCTGTGACTGTAAACCTCATCTCCTGTCAGTAGTATTTATACTCAGAACTACAATACGCGTATGCATATTGCATCAACAAAATGCCAATTAACTAGAACATGTTTAGGGTGAGGCCTCACTCACATATTCACTGATGCTCATAAACATCTCAGAGTAATATTCACTTCAAGCATTACCAGAGTGAGTCCTGCTGAAGTCAGGGAGGAATTTTGGTTCTTTGGCAATAGCATAGATGTCTCCAGTGGCCCAGGTCTCTGGGATACTTCAGTGCAATGATGAATCTGAAAACCTGAGCGTAGAAAATCATGTGGTGATATAAGTCACACAAGTTGAGAACACTTTGTGCCCACCTTTACTTATAACAAAGAATTTACTGGACAGAAATTGGAATGAATCAGCATAGCCAGATAACATCAAGAATTTCCTGTGGAATGTAGGCACACAGTACAGCCTACTATGTGGCATTACTTGCCAGAGTGGAGGCTCAGAGTGCAATATACCCCTGTGGAAACTTTCTTATCATAAACCATAATATAACTGCTTTTGGAAATGAGAGTAAATTTCTACCTGGAAATGACACTGTTTCTTCAAAGATGGCTGTGTGTGTGTATATATATATTTAAATTGTGCATGTATAATTTAAAGAACTCAACCCTTCACTATTCAAATACAGGGAGCAAAAATTGAGAATATGTTAATACTAGGGCTTCACTTTGATATAGCTATATTTGAGCCCAATAGAATATTTAGATGTTCACAAAGTTCCAGAAGCGGTCTGGATTCACGTATGTGACACTGAACGCTTACATATATTTGTGATAAAATACATATATTCAACACTGAATATACGTATCTGAGCTGCTAGTGCCAAAGCTCCACCCTCCAACCCAGACATATTAGGGCTTTTGTCACATAGCAATAGGTGGAGGGTAAGGAAGTTAGGTAAGCACAAGTATTGATCATCTTCATCAGATACTTTGCAATTGATGCATAGACTTGTATTTGTTTGCATTCTATACTAGTCAAATATCTTCAAACACTTAATAGATACACTATTAAGGAAGCTGGTTTGTGAATGCTTCACAAATCTCCCGCCTGTCCACCCATGATATGTTGCATTTAGTAGTTATGCAATCTGACTCAACTAGGTCTAACAGATATTCTAGTGGCACTATTTAAAATAAAATGATTCCATATATCACTTTTTTGTAAAAGCTTATCTTAACAGAATAGTCGCAATAAACCACATCGGTCTTGAAGTAACTAACTTTCTAATTAAATAAAATGCTTTGATTTTTTTCCTCTTTGGACTATATCCTTAATTACATTTAAATTATAAGCTACATGCTGATTTTTTGACAAAATATCTTTAGTAACCATTCGCTGAGAGCAAAAGAAAGCTTATAAAAACTGTTAATGAGACAAAAATCAAATCTGGTGTAATCTACAGCAATCATCCACTGACACCAATTTACACCCGTTTTTAATTTTAAGGCCTATATTTTTTTTTTCTTTTCATCTAGTGAATCATTAAAGCAACATGATTCTTCAATTCATCTAACTTCATAATGTGACTTTAGAGCATTATGTTTTTAATTTTTCAGAAAAGGAAAGAAGAAAGCCAATGAAGATTAGCGCTGCTTATTCCTGCCAAGTTCTGTAGGTCAATTCAACACCACCTCATGGTCAATGATATAAATGGCTGATTACTCATTTAATGCAAATTCAACATGCACTCCTAAGTTTTGCAGATAGTTTGGATCTTGTTGGATATATCCATATGGTTTCTGCGCTATAACAGGATCTGGAAACAGACTGATAGCAGCTAAAAAATCCTATATATAGTCCTGCATTTAGCCCACCAGAATCTATTGTAGAGCCTTCAGAAAAGAGGGATGCAGTCATTGTTTCAACAAAGGCCCAACTACTGTTTGTCCTGCCATAGAGAGCGACAATTGTCATCTAAATTTGGTACAAGGATTCCCTGCTAGCTCTCATCAATGCAAAGATTTAGCCTCAGGTCCCCAGCAAATCTGTAGAACTTCAGTAAGGCCAAATCCAAGGCCCATTGAAATCAGTGGAAAGACTCCAATTGACTTCAGTGGGATTTGAATTAGATGCTAAGGGTATTTCTATACTGCACAGAAAAACCCACAGCACCAAGTCTCAGAGCCTAATGAACTGACTCGGGCTCACAGGGCTTGGGCTGTGAGGCTAAAAATTAGCAGTGTGTAGCTGTTCAGGCTTAGACTGGAGCCTGAGCTCCAAACCCTGGCAAGGGGGCAGGGTCTTGAACTCTGGGCTCCAGCCCAAGCAGGAACATCTATGCTATTATTTTTAGCACCACAGCTCAAGCCCAAGACAATTGACCCTTGACCCAGACTCTCAGACTCCATGCTGTGAATATTTCTTTGCAGTATCAGCATACCCTAAGAGACTGAAGAAAACTCAGCCCTCAGTGGCTAATCCTGCTCTGACACCCTTCCCCGTCAAACCGATCTAAATCTGATCAATCTTATCAGTGAACAACAAGTTCAGCATAAAGAGAAATACTCTGAGGAGTGTTGCCCCGTTGTTGGTGATACTGAATGGAAGCAGCTTGTATTTAGCAGGCTGCTCAGAACAGCTCTGCTGGTCCAGTTTTCATAGATTTCATGACAAAGCAAAAGAAAGATTTCTTCATCTGCACCACAACTACGATTTAGCACCAGTGTGTGTCAATAAGAATAGAGAAATTGACAATTTCCCAGGTGGAAGTGGATCTTATTTGTGGGGTAATATTTGTTGTTCACAAGCATTTGGATAGCCACTGGGCATTTGTGAAAATGTATGTGAATCCCAAATGTTTCATTAATTGTAGCATGAATGATCAGTCATCTGAAGACTCAGACGGATTTTGCAATGTAAGCTGTCTTCTATTTATTATTTGTCATTCTTCTATTTAAAAACTTGTAGTCATTTAACCAGAGGGCAGAAATAATATCATGTGAATTAGGTGGCCATTCAAACACCACAAACAAGTGGCAATTAGTAAAGCGTCCAAGTGTACAATTCACAGACAATCCAGAGGCTAATATCCCAGGTGGCTGACAAGCCATTTTTTTCTCTGCCAAAAAAAATTCAGTGAAAATGTTGTTTGATATTTTTTCTACTTTTGGAAATGAAACTAATTGGAAATTTTAATCTCAATTTGATTTGAATATTTTTTTTCATTTCTATTCAACTTTTCATTACAGTTTTGAAAATGAAATATTTTTTGAAAACTTCAAATTTTTGTTTCCCCCCCCTTCCTTTTTTTGCAACAGAACAAAAAACATTTACATTTCACCCTCCAACTTTCCCCTTTTTTTCATTTCCCTTGTACTACTCTGTGATAGTTTGGGGAGTCTGTAATTCGTTTTCATTTTTCCTTTTGCCACTCCATAACCTTTCCAAATTTTGAGAACTTTGAAAAGTTATAAGAAAAAAAATGTAGATAGCCTTCATTATGTTGAATTCAGCAGCAAAAAGG